ATTATTCTGAGCTACTACAGCAATCGATTTCCCTCTGGGATTAATAAAGTATTTCTGAATTTGAATTTGAATTGAATTGAATAATACAGCTTAAATATTCAGAATGAATGACCCATCATTTAGTTAAAGTCAAGCCAACATTACACAGTTTCCTCGCAATTAAGGACCTTATTGGCTGATATTGTCATTAAAATGTAATCTCAGAAGTTACAGATGTCAGTTTTTACTCCTTAAATGTCAGAAATATTACAAACCATGCATATATTAAACATCAAAATATTCAACTACTTTTTTTCTCACTGAAAATACATAAATATGACAGATCTCAGGTAAAGTCTTTATGACCCTGCATATTGGTTTTATCAGGATTGATAATTAAGATTCAGACTACATCAGTATTTTGGATATCTGTAAAAAGCCAATATTGAACATCCCTATACTCCCAATTATACCCAACCTTTAAAGACTGATCCCCCTTTTTTAAAGTGTCGAACACCAAGAAAGCACTTTTTAATGATTATATCTGATTCTGTGTTTTTCATGCAGGCTGAACATCAAATTGTCTCCAACACCTATCTCCCGCATTAGCTTCTGATGGAAAATAGAAGGTGAAACTCTAGGATTAGAAAATCCTGACAGATTTACGTCACACTGTCACTTAAAATTCATGGACTCACCCATCTTGACTCACGATTGTGAAAGCTGTTGTTGGTTTCGAGAATGTCTCGGCTAGTAGAAGCTAACCGTTAGCATTAGCGACTCCACCACACAGCAGAACTCCTCTAGGCTTGTGTTATTTGTAGAGATAAAACATATAAAATGCAAGTCAGTGGTAGAGTTGCGTTTCTGTTATCGAATCTGAGGCTAGATGTTCAAAAATCAGGAAATAAGAGTCCAAAACCTGCCGCCTGAAGCTCAGCTGTAATGTGGCTCACTTATAGTCCCTGAAACTGAAACTATAAGCTTCATTCCTGTGAGAGACCACTGCAAATGTATTGATTAAATGAGTGTTCAACACTTTTGATGTGATTCTTTTTTTCCTCTTAGTGTTTGGTACAAAATTATGTCAATGTCACAGTTTAAATGTTGCCACCTATGATAATAGTCTGAGCTTTTTAGTAAGGTGCAATAGATTACTTCCATTAAGCTACGGCTTTTTTGGTGCTATAAGATAAGGGTGATCTGCGTTAGAATCAAATTCTCTCTTCATTTTTAAACTAGAATGATAAAGATTAAAAAATATAGCTAATATTCTTCTCAGGAGAGAATGTTAAAATGAAAAAGTGTTTGGGTGAAATATGTAAAGGACATTGTGGGATCTCAAATGAAGGTTAAAATGATCTTTTTCACTACTTTATCAAAAACATAATGTTTGGAAACCCTTAAGATGTTCTGTGTGATAAACCACAAATTCAATAAAGGTATGTGTCTACCACAGTGTAGCGTACCAAAGGACAACAATTTGGTTATTTGTCCACTGTAAGGTCAGAGGTCATCTCACAGAAGTGTCCGGGCGGTTCCCCTACACTGCTCTACGAACTTGTTGCCAAGAAGGGAAGCCATAATAAACCCTTCTGCTGAATTCCCTTGTCTTTGCTGGAAGCAACGATCTCATGCAGAAGACGAGACCTTCACTCTGAATAAAAGTTCATTTTCCTTGAATCATAAACAACTTTACAACGTAATAGGTTGATATAATCAAATGTGTTGAATGAACAATATGTTTGAATCCAAGTGTTTTAATAATGCGTGCATTAATCAATTATGAAAATAATTTTTTTATGTAATAATTCATTTCAGGTCTTAAATGATACCAGATTAATATTTGTTGATTTAATAATTTAATCTATCAGTATATTCATGCATCATGAGATTATCATTAATGTCTAACATTCACTTTACATAAATGTGTAATAACATTTTCACTTCACACTAAGAAATAACCTTGAGTGAAGGCGTAATTCTCTGAGGTCTTTTGTAGCGCCTTTAAAACTTGTCAAATTCTGATTTGTCTAGACTTTATAAACAAAAGTTGATAAAAACAGGAATCCCTTCCTGATTCCTTAGTTCTCCTGCTGCCTCTTGGTTCGGCCAACCGCTGAGCAAGCATTTGGAACCATCTTCTCTTTTCACCACAAGGTCAAAGCCTCTCTGCGACACTTGCGAAGTATTTCAATTCAAACGGCTTTTTAAGAGCCACCGAACACCCCAGATGTGGAACGTCTAACCTGCAGACCCTGGTTGCATCTCGTGGCCGGTGAGTTCTGAATTCAATTCAATTCAATTCAATTCAAGTTTATTTATATAGCGCCAAATCACGACAAGAGTCGTCTCAAGGCACTTCACATAATAAACATTACAATTCACAGTTCATTAAGCCAATCAGAAATAATGTTTCCTATATAAGGAACCCAGCAAATTGCATTAAGTCACTGACTAGTGTCAGTGACTATACAGCAATCCTCATACTAGGCAAGCATGCAGCGACAGTGGAGAGGAAAACTCCCTTTTAACAGGAAGAAACCTCCAGAGAATCCTGGCTCAGTATAAGCAGCCATCCTCCACGACTCACTGGGGATCGAGAAGAGCTACAACTCTTTGGATTCTCGTGGTCACAACGTCCAGTGGACCTACCACTCTGGCTGCCTTTCCTCCGGACCAAGGAGAACGACAGTCACACAAGGGTAATGAAGACTCTGCATGATTGTGTCGGATGATTTTATGAATAATCAATCATATTTTAGGATTTTAAGCTGCACAATTCCACCATTGCCTGGATTTTAGACTATTTCTTAAACAGGCCTCAGTTTGTGAGGGTTGGGGGTAAGTGCTCAGACTTGATTTTTACAAACTCTGGTGCACCACAGGGGACAGTTTTATCTCCTTTTTTATTTACACTGTATACAGCTGACTATAGGCACAGTTTACCATCTAGTCACTTACAGAAGTTCTCCGATGACACGGCCCTACTGGCATGGACGTAATTTACACTTTAGAAGTGGGGGGGACACGGGGGTGGCGGTGGGAGGGGTATCTTTACAGTATGTTCTAATAGGAAACAGGCTTCAACACAAAAGGTTGTTTTCTGCTTGGTCCTAGAGCTCAACCAGTGTCAATTTAATATAAAGTAATATTGTTTTTGGATGGTAAAAAGTGCAGGGGTCAAAACTTGACTTTGGAAAAAGTGGGGGGACATGTCCCCCCTGTCCCCCCCCAAAATTACGTCCATGCCTACTTGGCCTGATCTCTCGGGGTGACGACCTGGCAAAGCCGGGCGTACACTGTGCGACTTTTTCACTCGCAGCGTTCAGCTTCAGCTCAAACTGTACGACTTCCTCGCAGAGCAGATCTCACGAGTCATGTGCTCACATTGTACGACCCAGTTCTCGCATGCGACCTGACTGCTCACACTGTACGTCTGGTAGCAACACGTCGGCCCTAAAAATGTGCTAAAAATAGCAGTTTTTACTCAACACGTCAGACTTTTTTGTCTTGCCTGTTGTCCTTCGGGAGTGCTGCAGGGGGACACACAGGGATTTATGGGGGTTGGATGAGGAAACGAAATAAAGAAAGTAAATCTGTGTTTTGGGATCAGTTTAATTTGACATGAACACGACAAACACGCTTTCTTGACAATCTTTGTGAGTAAAAAAAACGTGTAGAAACAAAAACGCACAGCGTGTGTTATTAGGGAAATAGCGAGCGACCGGCCGGCGGTGATGCAGGATTGCGCATGCGCCGTGAGCGGTTCTGATACTTTTTGGATCGCAGCTGCTCGCAGCACCGCTTCAACAGTGCGATACCCTCACGAGGGACGAGCGAAATATTAAACACACCAGAAGTCCGTGCGACCTCACGACTGCTGATCGGCGGCTGGTCACGTGGTGTTAATCGCCTCTCGTAACCCCCTGTACACTACACGACCGCTCGGCGCAAAACTCGCCCCGATGTCGTGGCTTCTCGCACGACTGGAAAATCGGCTCAAAAAAGTGGAAAAAGTCGCACAGTGTACGCCCGGCTTTACAGGGAGGAAGTTAACTCCTTTGTTAGATGGTGTGATGTCAATCTTCTACAACTCAATGTTGGCAACACACAAGAGCTAGTTATTGATTTTAGAAAGAAAAAACAAACATTCTCTCCCGTGGTCATCAAAGGCCAACCTGTTGAAACTGTGGAGACACGTAAATATCTAGGGGTGTACCTCGACGATGAGTTAAACTGGAAAAGGAATATCGATGCTGTTGTTAAAAGGCCCAGTCCAGATTGTTTTTTCATAGAAAGCTAAGATCCTTTGAAGTAAGTAGGAGGATCTTGAATGTGTTTTATCGGGGAATTATGGCCAGTGTGTTGTTTTATGCTGTGTTGTGTTGGGGCAGGAGCCTCACTGCTGAGGACAAAAACAGGATCAACAAAATGATCAAGAAATCTGGCTCAGTGGTTGGGCAAAGCTTGGACTCATTTGACACGATCATTGACAAAAGGATGAAAAGTAAACTTAAGACAGTTATGTCTCTGGAGGACCACCCCTTCACCAGATTTTTTAGGATCTCAGGAGCTCTTTTAGTGGGCGAATGTTGTTCCGCTGAACGTTTTAGGAACTCTTTTCTTCCTGCTGCAATGCGTTTTTACAACGAGCATTTTGTATGATTGTATATTTGATATTTTTATCATGGTTGTGGCTTATAGCCGTGTCCAGTGAACGTTTTGTTGCATGTGTGTGCATGTTGTGTTGTCCACGCGGCAGGGGTGAGGTGGTGCTCACTCCTCACCCCTGCCACGTGGACCTCAAGGGATAAACCATCAATCCTGCTCAATGGTCAACTTTCCTCGCGGGGTCACACTCATTAGGACCGTGGGAAGGTTAAACAAAACAAATTAAAATATAATATTGCAACAGGTAGGCTAGAAATGTATATATAAATATAAAATAATCACCAGAAAAACTTTGATTTTGCATGTTGCATTTTAGATGTAGATAACAGCAGTGAACGAAATCCTACCTTCTCTTCTGTTGACTTTTGCAAAGACCGGCCCATGACTGCTGGACAGCTGAGAGGAGCTTCTGAACAATGATGGAGCCAGATTGGACACCAGTGGATGGTCACATACTTCTGTTAAACAATCACAGCACAAAAGCAACGGATCAGTGTTTTGCATCATGAATCGTGAAAGGCTATGCGGTAGTTCAGAGCTGAAACGTCAGTAGATAAGAAAGAAAGGTTACATTTGAATTATTGGGTTTCTATGAGAAAAAAACACACACCCTGCAATAAATGTAAGTTATGAGATGTGATAAAGACCAGTGACGGATTATAACACCTTGGTTTCACTGAGACAAGAAAATGAGTTGAGATATTTTCATGCCTCACACATTTAATGAGTATAAGTGTCCAGGACAGGAAGTGTGCTTTTAGAGGGAAGTTTAATAAGTGACTCGTGGACAGCAGTTGTCTCCAACACAACCACTATTTAACATAGTAAAATGAATGAGTCATAAATTAATGCGAGTGTACATCTGTGATGCTAATGCATAAATAGATAAGTTACATCATTTCTATATGAGCACACTACTGTGCAAAGTTTCTTCTTACAGAAACTCTTGCAAATGTTTCATTTAGTCTTACATGTCAGAAAAGTCATGTTTTAAAAAGACTTGAGGTATCTTGTAAACACCTTCATCTGAGTGAAGGTAAGTTAAGGTCAATGCGTCCGTGGGTCGTGACACGGAAAATCCACTGATGGGTGAAATGAGAGAAGTTGGGAGTGTCACACTATAACTTAAAATTGGAGGGCACCAATCATAAATGTCCAAACTCCTCCACTCTTTGTTGCGGGGGGGAGGGGGGGCTGCAGAGGGTGTTTGAGCACCTGCCCCTTTGGTCCCAAGTGCCCAAGGGGCCCTTTTTCCGGTCTTCCGTCAAATTTTACTGCCCAAAACTGTCAAGCATGTCATTGATGGAAGAGTTATCACGGGTTTTTGTTCTTTTTTTTCTGGCTTTCTGGTGAATCTATTTAAAATTTTTGCTCTATATGTGCCCCCTTTTTAACTTTGAGCACCCACCCCTTGAAAGGTCTCTGCACGGCTCTGATCTCATCAATGATTGGCTAACCCCAAGGCGACTCTACCACTGACTCTGTTTTCTGTAGTGGGTTTCTTTGCTGATTTCTACCTCTGCTGCTGCTTTAGTGGTTGACAATGAGGAGAATGTTGGACCGGTCAGATATTTGATGTAACAACAGCTATTTGATAAATGATCTAAAATGGCAGACTGACCTTGGGCAAACACAAAATCCTGCAGGTCACAAAGGCAGATGGATGGACTCCAGTTCTCCGTCACTTTTATAACTTAAGCATTTGTCCCTGACTTAATAAATCCAGGTTTCTGATTGGTACCAGCAGCCCCTTCTGCCTTTATGCAACCTTGACCCAATTGGAACCCTTTTATGACTCAACTGTAACTGAACACATGGTATAAAATAAGGGTGATTTATCCTACAACCTGTTTGTACTGACCTCAAACTTGCTCTCTAAAAAAAACTTAACTATCTCACAATGAGGGACAGGAAAGGTTGTAGACGACGCATCGCTCACATTCAAATCAAACAGAACTCATTCAGGGCTTTATGTTCTTTCAGTGCGAACCACAAGCTTATTGAAAAGCAATAAATTCTGATGAGATGGGCTGTTATAAAACTGGGAGATAGGCACACATTTAAATCAACTTCTCTTCTGCATTTTTATCAACACATTTTCTGTCAAAGCTGTGTACAGGAGGAGATGAATTTTGAGAATGGTGTAAAAAAATAAAAATATCTAACGTTCCGCCCTCAGCCTCAGCTTTGCGAATAATCAAAACCTCAGCCAACAGCCTTGGTTAGCTGAGAAAAGCATTACCCAAGTATCGCTGCTGCTTCAACCTGCAATAATCAAACTGAAGACAAAAGGATATTTTCTCTTTGAAAAGTGATGCTGCAAGCTGCCTGTGGTAAATTAGTTCTGTTGGGGATAATAAAAAAAAAAACAATTACACAATGAGGGAATATAAAGGATATCCCTGATTGCTGATTATCATCACACTCAAGGATGATTGTCGTGATTTGCAGACAAATTTTATCAGAAAATTTATTAGAGCATTTGTATTTATTCAAATGGTCATCTATTTTTCAACATGCATCAGTAAATAAGGCACGAAGTCTGCACCTCTTGCAGATTTCATGCCTTATTTATCTCTTTAGCAAATGTAATAAGCAACCAGGCCAATATAGCTAGGTACGCTCTTTGCAAAATAAGACATGACTGTCTGCATTTGAAGTGTTTGATAAATAATAACCCAAATGGTTAATAGTCAAACTTACATGTCACTTCAACAAAAAGTGTTGCTACCAACTTGTGTCAGTGTCAAGTTAGTGTTGTATGTACTAAAAACAGTTTATTTAGGTCAATACTTAAAAAAAATGCTCCATATGGCCTGAAAACCAACTAATAAAACGTCTGCTGAGTAAGAAGCTGCAGGGAATTGCTGTCAGTGTTGGACTGCACACAATTTGGGTCATTTCAGTGAAGAGTTTGCATGTGCACCTTGTGCATGTGCATTTTCATTTTCTCCCACATTCATTCGTGTTTACTCTTTCTGCCAAGTCAACAAATACTAAGGCCCTGTCCACACGTAGCCGGGGATCTGCCAAAACGTAGATATTTTTCTATGTTTTGGCCTGTCATCCACACGTAAACGGAGTTTTTCACACGAAAACGGATCTTTTTAAAAACTCCGGCCAAAGTGAAGATCTGCGTTTTCTCCGTTTTGGGTGTCTGCGTGTGGACGGACAAAACCGGAGTTTTAAGGTCCGCAGCGTCACTTTCCGCAACAAAAAATGCTGACATCACGTGTGCGACCTGTGTTTACACTAGCCGACATCATGGAAGCCTTCAGAGCTGCGCTCTGTCACTATCATAGACTGTACATACAGGTCACTACCCGATCCATCAATTGTCCAAGCGCTTTCTGCTTGTTTGTTTTTGCAAGCGGAATTACTGCTCCTTGCGGAAGACCACAGACGAAGGACGAGGTTAAGAACGGGGGAAGTACTGCCGCCTACAGGTCTGGCATGTCCTTAACAACGTATTTATCCGGGTACGTGTGGACAGAGTTTTTTTTAAAACGAGGTGGTGTGGATGCAAGTTTTTGGAGGGGCGGATATTCGTTTTCAAAAAACCCCGGCTACGTGTGGACTAGGCCTAAGGCAATGATAAAGTGTGAGATCCACAGGTGGACAGGAACAGTGACAGCGGTGAACCAGTCTCTTGTTGTGAAGTGAGAGAAAAGTTGAAAGGCAAAGCTTGTCATTTATTGGTGACCAAAATACAACCCTCACATATGATTATGAGCTTTGGTTTATGACCAAAAGGCTGCTGATATAGGGTGCTGAAAAGAGATCCCCTGCTCCTCCACATTGAGATCACTGATCCACTGGAGGGATTACATCTCTAGGTTGGCCTTGAGATCCTATTGGAGGATTTGGTGGAACTGGCATGGGAGAGGACATTCTGAACTTCCCTGTTAAATTTGCTGCCTCTGTAACTTGATCCAGATAAGAGTACTGCCATGTCAACAATTCTGCTTTTTACTAAGCCTAAAGAGACAGGGTGTAGTTGTTACCATTAATCTCATGAAATGTCCATCAAAGTGTTGTTGAAAAATGAATAAAATGATGTCCAGTTGTTGAAAAATATTGGCGGCTTTGTAGCATATAACCATAAGTATCAGGTTTAAAGCAGTCTAGCATCTTTGGGGAACACCATATTAGATGTCATGTTTCCTTCTGGCCGGCTCGGGTCCTGTACCTGACGCTAATGTCACACATGTACAACTTACAGAAGTTACGTTACCACGTTCAAAAACATTTAGGTAGTAACAACACAAATTTAATAACAAAACTGCCAAACTCTTTCCAAAACGTATGTGAAAGAACAGAACCAAAGAAGAGATGCAATATACTTTGGCTGAGCAGTTTTGCTGTTTTATGATGATGTCATCGGCAGGCGAAAGACCCCGAATTGATCCAGAAACTGCAGCACCAGAAAACTACATTCGGCATTGCATCTCTCGATGGAATTACCTGAAGGACCACCAAAGTGTGCTGAGTCACGCTGAGGTTGCGTGCCTTCTGCTCCATAGGTAACAACATGTAGCATACTGTTTTTTTAAACAAGCCACAGTCATGGTGATCTGGTGTAAAACTACCCTGGAATGTTTTTATGTTCTGCCCCCTAGTGGCAGGAAACTATACACTGCCACTTGAATAAGATCAAAAGCTTAAAGACTTATTGGTAGAAGAGGTTGAGAGGTTCCAGCTAGATATAGTTGGACTCTCCTCAACGCATGGCTCTGGCCCCTTACCCAGTTTCCTCAAGACGGGTTGCACTTTCCACCAATTTGGAGTTGCTCCCACTGAGAGGCGCTGAACAGAGGTGGGCATACTTGTTGCCTGTACATTGGGGTTTACCCCAGTGAATGAAAGGGTAGCCCCCTCCCGCCTTCGTGCGGGGGGTTGGGTCCTGACTGTGGTTTGTGCATATGCACCAAACTGCAGCTCAGACTACCCACCCTTTTTGGAGTCCTTGGAGGAAGTGCTGGAGAGCGCTCCTTCAAGTGACTGCCTTGTTCTGCTGGGGGACTTAAACGCACATGTAAGCAAAGAATATGAGACCTGGAGAGGTGTGGTTGAGATGAATGGCCTACCTGATCTGAATCTGAGTGGTGTTTTGTTACTTGACGCCAGTGCACGTCATGGATTGTCCGTAACGAACACCATGTTCAAGCAAAAATGTGTCCATATGTTCTCTTGGCACCAGGATACCTTAGGCTGCAGTTTGATGATTGATTTTGTTGTCCTTTTATCTGATCTGTTGCTGCATGTAATGGTCTCTTGGGTGAATTCAATTCAATTCAATTCAAAAATACTTTATTAATCCCAGAGGGAAACTGACTAAAGAGAGGGTCGGAGCTGTCAACTGAGCACTACCTGGTGGTAAGTTGGCTTCAATGGTGGAGAAGGAAGCCGATCAGATCTGGCAGGCCTAAACTTATTTTGAGGGTCTGCAAGGAATGTCTGGCAAAGTCTTCTGTCAGAAGGAGCTTCAATTCCCATCTCATCCCGAGGGTAGCAGGGGACATTGAGTCACAGTGGGCTATGTTCCATGCTTCCATTGTTGAGGCGGCTGACCGGAGCAGTGGCTGCAGGGCTTTGTGGTGACACCGCTGGTGGACACTGGCAGTTAGGGATGCTGTCAAGCTGAAGAAAGATTCCTATCAGGTCTTTTTGGTCTGTGGGACTCCATAGAGGCAGTTGATGGATGCTGGCAGTCCAAGCGGAATGCGGCTCAGGTGGTAGCGGAGGCCAAAACCTGGGCATTGGTGAGACCATGAAAAAAGGCTTCTGTGTGGCTTTGAGGAGATTCTGGTCCATCATCCGGCACCTCAGGAGGGGAAAGCAGTGCACTACAAACAGTATTTATAGTGGAGACGGTTTGCTGCTGACCTCTACTCGGGACGTTGTTGATAGGTGAGCGGAATACTTCGAAGACCTCCTCAGTCTCACCAGCAAGTGAGGAAGCAAAGTTTGGGGACTTTGGGATGGACTCTCCAATCTCTGGGGCTGAGGTAATCAAGGTAGTCAAAAAACTCCTTGGAGGCAAGGCCCCTGGGGTGGATGAGATCCGCCCAGAGTTCCTTAAGGCTCTGGATGTTGTGGGGCTGTCTTGGTCTACGCGGCCCTGCAATATCATGTGGACACCAGGGTCAGTTCCACTGGATTGGCAGACTGGGGTGGTGGTACCACTATTTAAAAAGAGGGACTGCAGAGTGTGTTCCAACTACAGAGGGATCACACTCCTGAGCCTCCAGGTCTATTCAGGGGTTCTGGAGAGGAGGGTCGGTCGGATTGTCCAACCTCAGATTCACACCGGGGACACACCGGCTGCAGATGTGCCGGGAGGTGAAGCGCTCACGAAATTTGGCTGCTCGCTGCCGCTCAGTTCAGACCAGACGCTTGTTTCTCTGCTCTGGTCGAGGCGCGCTTTGTAGTTTTAAACACTTGGTGTCCTCCATTTCCTCTCTGCCTTTTTTTCTGCTTTTTGCTGTTTGTGTGTGTTTGTCCGCGTGTGTGTGAACCAGTTGTTAATGGCTGGCCTACGACTTTCTGCCTCTCTGTCCTGCTTGCTCTGGTTGAAAGACACCCAAAACCATACCCCCTTCACGTGGTCACACACACACACACAAGTTCGCTGTGTATGTGTGTTCATGCGGTTTTTATGCAGTGTCTGTTTACGAACACATTTGACTATCGCGGAATTGAATTTTGAAATGCTTTATTTTGTTAAATTTACCGGCCTGCCTCTTATGTCTAGGTTTGACTTCCTGAAGTGACGCATTCACCCGCGGCTCGTGAAAAAAATAGAGCAGATGCCGAAACGATCGCTGCACGGCGCGGGCTGGAGCGCCAGCGCATGCGCTTCGGCGGCCCATGTGGTCTATAGAATAGGATAACAAGGGTGCCGATTGATGTTGGTCCCCGTTTCGTGGCGCTTCGGCGGCTGGTGTGTCCCCGGCGTTAGGAGGAACAATGTGGTTTTCGTCCTGGCCATGGAACACTGGACCAGCTCTATACCCTTAGGGAGATCCTGGAGGGTGCGTGGGAGTTCACCCAACCAATCTACATGTGTTTTGTGGATTTGGAGAAGGCGTTCGACCGTGTCCCCCGGGTGGCCATATGGGAGTGAGTATGGGGTACCAGGCCCTTTGATACGAACTGTTAGGTCCCTGTATGACCGGTGCCACAGCTTGGTCCACATTGCCAGCAGTAAATCGAGCTCATTTCCAGTGAGAGTTGGACTCCGCCAAGGCTGCCCTTTGTCACCGATTCTGTTCATAACCTTTATGGACAGGATTTCTAGGCATAGCCAAGTTTTTGAGGGGATCTGTTTTGGTGGCCTGAGGATCAGGTCTCTGCTTTTTGCAGATGATGTGGTCCTGTTGGCTTCATCAGACAGTGATCTCCAGCTTTCGCTGAAGCGGTTTGCAGAATCAGCTCTTCTAAATCCGAGACCATGGTCTTGAATCTTGATTCTTCAAGTCAGGGACGAAGTCCTGCCCCAAATAGAGGAGTTTAAGTATCTCGAGTGAGGGAAAAATGGAGAGTGAGATCGACAGGCGGATTGGTGCTGCATCTGCAGTGATGCGGGCATTTTACTGATCTGTCATGGTGAAAAGAGAGCTGAGCCAGCAGGCAAAGCTCGATTTACTGGTCGATCTACATTCCTACCCTCATCTACGGTCATGAGATTTGGGTAGTGACTGAAAGAACGAGATAGTGGATACAAGTGTTACACTGATTTGCCGGCATGGTGTGCCTTCTAAAAAGGCCTACAGTTGCTTTAATGCAAGGCTGAAACAACCAAAAAGCACATTTGCATTTTAACAAAACACATCCGCTGACAGCACATAAGCCTGGTTCACGCAACAGGATTTAAAATTTATTGGAATACTTTAAAAAAGAATAGAAAAAAAAACATTTAAGTGCCCGCATGTAGCAATAAAAAAATCTCTGTTTTAGTCCTACTATCCGGCCACACTGCAAAAACAACACACTGCATGACAACATGCTCAGGTCAGATGGGAAATCTCACAAAATGTCTTGAGATTAACGCGACTTTGAACTAAACAATCATGGTGGAGGAGGAGCATGCAGCGTGCTCCTTTACTTTGCGCTCTGATTATCTACACATCACGTTCAACAGGCAGCATGCTTGCTTGTCCTAGAAAGCAAACCAAGACATTTGACACCCCTAATCTATGGTCAGAGTGGTCCAGATGTCCTTACAAACAGATCAGAACTTTCTTAACACAGCACACATGACAGGATTGTGATTGAAATTATCTTTAGAGGCATTACGCTAATCTGGTGCACACTTCAGATTAAAGGGGAGGATTGGGTTAAAAAGTGGCATAATTTCTTTGCCGTGTGAATTGAGCTTACAGTAAGTCAACACAAAGACACCGTTGTGGATAACGAGAGGCAAACTACAACCAATATTTATAAAAAGTTGGATTTTTTTCAAACACCTGTTTGTTCACTTCAATCACAAACCAAGAATGACGTAAGCGAAGAGTCGGGCTATAATTTTGGAAAAGTACAGACCTTGAAATGTGTTCAGCAAGATACTACAAGTCTTACATCAATATGGTTATTGCCATCTGCTCTGTTGTGGTCATCTGGGACATTAGCATGAAAACAGAATATACTCACAAGCCTGTAAATGCCCTGTGTCAGAGAAGAAGAGGTCGTCAGGGCAGGAGCATTTCATCTTCCTCTGCTTTATGACAAGCAACAAATGCAGCAGAGGCCGCTTTTCTTTTAGATCTGAAAGCATTTGTGAGCATTTTAAGCATTTTAGGATAAATGGGTGGACTTTAACTTCCTGTTCTCTTTATTCACCACAAAATAAGTAATAAAATTCATTAATAGTGATGAAAACCTTTAACTGGTCAGGAATGAATGTCAAGGAGCCAAAATAGCTTCAAAAACTGCACTATATCTAATTGTCTTTTTATTGTGTTAATGTGCATGGCTGAGGAGATTCTGTCTGAAGGGAGCATCACCTGTTTAACATGATTTAGGGTCAATTTTAGTCCATAAAATCTATTTTTTTTCTTAAATGCTCTTTTGTTTTTAAACAATCAATGCGGCAGAGAAATAACAGTATCTACTCTCTCCAATCTCCTCCACCTTCATTCATCCTTCGATCTCCAGAATCAATCACATTCCTGTCTCTGGCTGATTTAACGTGTGAAATCGTTCAGATAAAGTAATTACAGTAAGACGGGGACACTGGTGGTTGGACTTGACCGAGCCACTTCAACTGGGCAAATCCTGAAGCTATTCATTAAAACATCCCATGAGTAAGCTTACAGCTCTCGTGCACTCAAAGGCTCAATAACAGCTTGGATCTGGAGGCCTATCAAAGCCATCACAGCAGTGATTAAACAGGTTATTTTCAGTCACTTCTCTTCAGATCATCTGCTTTTAAGATGTTTCAGTGCAGAATGGAGCAAGAGGAGCAGAGGCAGCTCCCTGACGAGTCTTCCGACGTCTCATCTGACGGATCACATCTTTCCCTTTCCGTCTTTCTCTTGTGTAACAACATCAAATGTTAAAGAAAGGAACACAGAACAAGCAGCATGTGGGATTCGGTCTTAAAAACTCGACTTCGACCGACCCACAGAGCTTGAACATTACTTTTTCTGAAGCAAACTCTGCAGTGGTCAGATCCTACCCATGCCAAACGTTGAAACATCTTTCATTCACAAACAAACTTGCTTTGGGAATTTGCAGAAACGGGTCACAAAACAGATATAAACTCCTCGCAGCTGCAGTCTAAGTCACTTCTAAAGCGTAGAAGCCAGAAAATAGGTGAGAAAGTCAGAAGATGTTTACTTTTGCCTATTTTTTTTGGTATGGCACTAGTTTCAAACCCAAAGCTGAGGGAACTGTACTTTTTCACATGTATATCGATAACTATGTTGAAATTTATATCTATTAATTGGAAATTGTTTAATCTTTTGTGTGTTTTGAGAAACACAAAGAAACACAAACATTATGAAGATTATATTAAAATTGTCGTTTATATATAGATTTTTTATTCCTATCTAAAAAAAAGTGTAGTATATTATAACAGTCTAGTGTGGCATGCACTGCTACTGAATGAGATTACAGCAGCCTAAGAGTGGATCTGAAACTCAGCATCCTGCCCGCGCAGCGCCAGAAGCGCACAGAGCTGCTCACCTTCTCCATCTGTCCCACAAGAACCGAGCAGCACTGAGGCGATAAACGCAGCAATCCCGCTGAGTCTTTTACTCCCCAGAGACATGTTCAAGCCTCCCGATGCTGCAGAGTGTAATCCGGTTTGTGTAATCTCGTCCTTCACCCTCCTGCTCCGGTGCGCTGCGCTGCGCTGCGCCGCGCTGCAGCAGAGCCTGCAGCAGTGAGAAGCTGGCCAGCTCCCGGAGAGAAGGAAGGATGCTCTCACGCCGCCTGCTCCGAGTCAAGTGGAGCATGCAGAAAATGAAAACCAGCATTTAAGAGGCTGTCGCTGGTTCAACACTCTCAGACTGAGATCCAGAAGGAGATCAGAGATCCAGGATTTACCTAAACACAGAGAGAGCACGTGGCTCTTCTCATGCTTAACCCTCTCAGGCTCAAAATGAGTTTTGATAAAAGGACGAACAAGTCCTTCAGGAGTACTTCTGAGTTTAAAAATGCTCATGAAATACGTATAACCAGGTAGGTATAGGTTTTAACATTGCAAACCTGCAACGCCTGCCAGACAAAAGCCACAAACATGAAACTGGACATGCTCTTGTTTTTTTTTTATTATTATTATTATCATTTTTTTAATTATTATTATTTGTTCATTTGGGTTTTTTTACATCTGGCTTGACTTTAAACAAAGTGAAGTAATTAAAAGACAAGTCTTAATCCAGTTTGTCAAGTTTTACAAAATCTGACCAGAAACACATTTTCTTCTGTTCAGAAGTGTTCAGCTATTGCATTTTATATCATTAAAGTGTTCATTTCTACAATTCATTTGATTTTTCTGTCTTCAAAAATCGTCTAACATAATTTTTTAAGCAGAGCCATTTTTAGCTTTGTGGGGGCCCTCCGGGGCCCTTAGCTTGCCAAATTGAACCACCATACATTAGATTATTTATAAGCACACCACACAGTATCACAAATCAGTATATATGAGTGAAACTGGGTTTTGTGGTACTGTATTACAGACAAGCAAAACAGGGAAGCCATGCATGATAACCTCTCATATTAAAATTAAGCATCTCAAGATAACTTATTCAAGCAAGATGAATAAAAACTAGAAAACACTCAGACTGTAGCAAGATGGAGGTCTACACTCAGACACATACAGAGACATGTATAACGTAGGTATTGATAGTACGTTAAAAATTAAAAGTATTTTCTGCCAATATTCTTTATTCTGTAATTATGCTGATTATTTATCGGTTTATTTATTTATTTATTTTTACTTTAGTCTTTAAAAAGCCCTAACCAGTCCATAACTTTATATTTCTGTCTGCCTGCTGACATAATTTTTATTACGTTTAAAAATATATATTAAAAATATTAAATCACAGCTACTTTTTACTTTTACTTGAGTATAAATATGTTTAAGAAGTAGTGCTACTCCTTGAGTACAATTTTTGGCTACTCCACCCACCTCTGCTTGGGGAGGGTGTGGGTTGTAGTGCTGGTCTAAAGCGAGCTATCTGGCCACTGCTACATTATGTCCCAAAACATTTAATTGTCTTTAAAGTAAGTCACTTCTCAAATTTTGTGAATAAATTGTCTGACTTGTTTGCCCAAAGATAAAGAAAACGTTACAAAGATCAACAGTCAGCCTAAATTAATTTGTAAAAAACAAAGCAAATAAATTAATAGTTAAATATTACCGGTGCGACTCTCTGACTTGTGTTTTGAGATTTGTTGCTTTTCCCAGTTTGTTCATTTACTACAAAAATTCCAACTTCCAAGTAGAAATAATGAACTTAAACAACTCCCTTAAGTCAGAAAATGTTTGTTAAACCAGTTTCGAGGTTTAGTACAGCAGCTTGTAATTACAATAGTAGCTGTGGTGGAAACGTGTTCATTTTACAAGATAAACTTGTAAGGGTGCATCTAAAATCAATGTTGTGTGCAGTTGTATATTTCTCGAGGTAAGTGGAACACACCATGACGTTTGTTTTCCCCAGCATAGACATTCAAGAATGGTCACTACACCCACTGTTACTCTCCTCTCTATCCTCGACTACGTTTACATGCAGCCAATATCCGGGTTATGATCGGGTTAAGGTCGGTATTCGGGTTTCTGAGTTGATCAGAATAACACGTTTACAAGCATAAATAGAAAGAGTTACCTCTAACTTGCATTACCCGATTTAAATGCGGACGTTGGGGAAGCGTCAGGACGTATGGACTACGTTCAGACGCAATATGCCTCATTTCCGGTTCTTCTTGTTCCGGTATCCGTGAAAACAACAACATGTTTCCCAATTCGGAAGAGATAGCAACCGCGTTTGTTTGAGCTTTAGTTTCCTCGTCACTCCAAAAGTGTGGTGCTGTGCCGCGACTCGCCATGTTGCTCCAAACTTGTTGTTTACTTCCGGTGTTCTGGCGCATACAAGACGTCTCGCTACTCAAAAGACCAAGATTCCTTGCGAACAGAGCATGCGCAGAACACACGCTTTGATATCCCGATATGCGTTTACACGACCAGACATTCGGGTTAGAAAAGGGTTACCCCAGGAGTAGTAACCGGGTTTTTAAAAACCCGGTTATGAGCATATCCGGGTTTTTGGCGGCGTTTACAAGGACCTGCGGAACCAGGTTATTGTGAATATTCGGGTTTTAAAAGGGTTACTGGCTGCATGTAAACGCACTATGGCAGCCGCGGTTGCAGGGTCTACTTTTTCTAAAGTCTATGGCTAACAGGATGTTTTAGCTAGGCTTTAGCTCCATGGAGCTTACGAAATACGAGAGAATGCCGTTCACACATGCCAGCATGAGCACACTCCCTTTAAAGTTTGTCAGGCAAAATACAAGCGTGTTCAGTTCACGTTCACAAAAAAAGAACAAGTCCACAAACAATAGTTCAAGGAATGTGCACAACACTGCCCGTCGGCAGCCATGTAGGGCTCTACACCTTTGCATAGTCAGTGTATAGGAAGCCTAAGTGTCCTCCCTTTCCGGTCAGCTATTTTCTTATCCGCTTTGCCTTATGCTCTGGATCGCACATGTGTTTTGTTTGTTTGTTTGTGAATTGTAATGCAATTTAAATGAAAAGTAATGATGGGTGTTTCGACCACGCCAGTCACGTACTTTGAGATTTATCAGCTTGTAAAAGTTCGTAATTAGCATGACTACATCGGCACGTCGCATATGTAACGTCACCACAGAATTTCCTCTCCCCTAGCGTAGCTGCTACTTATCACATGGCCAGATTTATGGTGGTTCTTTCCTCCCGTGGGAAGGATTTGAAGTTTGCTGAACTTACCACCATTTTCCCTCTGTTTTTCTCTGTGGTTTGATGGCGTCCTTTTGTGAAGTGCATTTGTTGTCCTGGACTTAATTTCACACAAACCCTAAAATAACCTTTACCCCAGTCAAAAATAAGCATGTTCTTGCTATCAAAAACCTTCTTTAAAATTCACAGACATATGTGAAATTCATGGCACATAACAAGCGGAATTGGAAAATAGTATTTTTAGCCCCGTTGACTTGCATTTATTTTTTCATTCTTCCAGGGACCCATGGTCCGGAAGTAGATGGACTTAGCCTAACCTGCCAGACTCCTTCTCTGTTTAATTCTGCACAGAGAAAGGGTCTGGGAACTCTTCTATTCAAATAACTCCAACCCCTGAGAATTCTAACCAAGCCAATCAGCGCTGAGTGGTGTATGTCACACACCATAACGCAGGGTTTGTCATAAACATGGCGACTGAAGCTGCAGCTCTTTCCTTTGCTCTAAATGACTTGGACATGTCTTTAAAACCACAAGTGAAAGCGCCAAAAGCCTTTCTTCTAAAGAAAGATGTTGGCGCTGTCGCCAGATGCCATTTTCAACTACAGCTAAAAAACTACAGTGTGGCCCAAGTCACACGCTCAGTTTCTCATAAAAAACGAAGACAGTGGCGACGTTTGCTGCGGCTCTTTCCTCTGTTCTAAATGACTTGAATGTCTTTAACTCATTCACTACCATTAACGACTAAAGTACTAATGGTGATTGTTAAATCCAACCGTTCACTGCCAATGAATAAATATTTCATTTGCATGTTTTTACTTTGTGGGCATCGGAACGAGCCCCCGCACCATGAGATCAAACATCTCAGCTCTAAAGCCGATCTTCATCCGCAGACGTCACGTGATCAGGAAGCAGAAAATCTATGTGTTAGGAGATTGTTTTGGGCCGCTGCTGTAAAAAAAAGTGAGGCACGAACCGGAAAAGCTTCTGCCGATCACAACTCAACAACGGATTATGAAAGAACGGATAACGCTCGAAACGGGCGGCTTCTTCCAGATGTAAGAGGTGAGTCTCCGCTTTGTTTTGGTTGTTTTGGTGTCGACATCATCCTAGCGCGCAACGTTCTGTGACTCTTTAAAAAACCTTAAAAATAGTGAGAAACGCTGGTAGCGAAGGGCTTTACTGATCAGGAAACGGCTGGCAGCGAATGAGTTAAAACCACAACAAGTAGAAGCGCTAAAAGCATTTCTTCTAACAAAAATAAAAGATGTTTGCGCCATTGCCAGACATCATTTTTGACTACAGATAAAAAACTACAGTGTTGCTTGGATCAGTCGGCATTCCTATCTTTTTTCTGATTGGTTATTTTTGAGCTGGCTAGTCCCCCCCCCCCCCTCACTGCCTGTGAGTTACCAGAATCTGTCTCTGTGCAGAATTAAACAGAGGACGAGTCTGGCAGGCCAGGCTAGTGACTTGTGGGCCTTTTCCACCGACCAAACTGGCATGGAATGGGAAGGATCGGGTCGCTAAATATTTTGTTTCGATTGTTGAACCAGTCCAGGAAACCTACCCGAACCGGTCCAGTAGCGGGCCAAAGCGGGACCCCTTATAGCTCTTTTCCATCGCCTGGTCTGGGACGGTCAGGTCTGGGTATTATGGACCGGTATGTACCGGTATGGGTCTAGAAGTTTTCTGGCAAGCGTTTCTATCACATTCCATGCTCCAGTTACTAGGCGGGGTAACGTAATGCGTCACGCGCGACCCGATCCTTCCCATTCCATGCCAGTTTGGTCGGTGGAAAAGGCCATTAGGCTCCTTCTAGCAAAAAACGGCTCTGGTTTTAAGACTAATTTGTTCATTTGGACAAACATGTGAAACGAATAACCTGTAGATTGGTTAATTAAATAGTCCAGACTTCACTGCCAGTGGCTGAGTAACCATTCAGCTAAAACAAGATGTCATAAAAGTTAGGGAAAAAACGGATCGATTGCTAATTTACAGTAAAATTAATCCCGGGTTGTGTTTTTCACAAAAGTAAACAATCTACTTCTAATACAATCACACAGAGTCTAATTCAGTCCAGCTATAATTAGAGCTATGCAATAATTATTGGGTAGGCTGGTGCCTCAGAGGT